ATAAAACTACACCCTCCACAACCCAGAATGCTTCCTCTGGCCTTTAGAGTAGACTGACTTGCACAGCCTTGCTCATCTAGCTCAACCCCTTCTCCGCCCTCCTGGGCTCTCAGGGGTCCTGCCATGGGGGACTTCTTTCAGTTCCTTGTATACCACACTCCCTTCCTGCATGTGGTCTCTGTACCTCCTGTTCTTCTTGTCCCAGGTAAGCTCCCATCACCACTGCCATTGTCACTGTCAGCATTTCCTCCCAACTCCCAAGTGCAGAGACATTGAAAGCATGCAGTTAGCCAAATGCCACAAATAAAGGCTTTTTTTTTTTTTTTTTTTCCTGAAGAACTGGAAAAAAAAATCCAGGGCAGAGTTTAGCAAACTATGAATCAGACCTTTCACTGCCTGTTTTTGAAAATAAAGCTTTATTGGCACACAGCCATGGCCATTCATTTACTATTGTCTACAACTACCTTTGCACTGAAACAGCAGAGTTGAATACTTGCAATAAAGACTTTATGACCTGGAAAGCCAAATATTTGTCATGTGGCTTTTTGCAGAAAAAGTTTGCCAACCGCTAGTCTAAGAGATGTATAGTCATCCTTCCATCTCAGTTCAGATTCTTGTAGGGAGGGAAAAAAACCTTTTATCTACCCTCTTAGGCAAAGTGTATGGATCCCTACAAGTTAAACTGACAAAAGACAGACAGTTTAACAGGAAAAAGGCATTCAAATTTTATTTGATGTTCATATTCTTACATGACACAGGACTTCATTGGAAAAAAGTGAAAACCTCAAGGAAGTGGCTAGGTCTGATAGTTCACATACCACCCTAACAAAGAGCAGTTAATTGTGGAGATGTGACAAGACAAAGGAAAAGAGGTTTGGGCTTCCAGGGATGGTAAATTGTGGGAAGGTAAATATATGGGAGAAACTAATGGAAGATAAGGATTCAATATATATATCAATAAGATTTGTATATGCAGATTCAAGGGTGCTATCTCCAGTGATAAGTTGTCTCTTCTTCCTGATACTGGAGATGGGAAGCAGGGACACCTTCACAAAGGAAAATTTATGCTCTGCTTTTAGATGGAAAGTGGAATTTTAAAGAGATTTCCTGCATCTGCTGTTTTTCAATTGCCTTCAGCTCAAAACAATTCTTATGCAAAGTGGCCTATTTTGGGATGACAGATTCTGACCCCCTTCACTCTCATCCTCAGGGTCAGCGTTCTGCCCCTCTGGGCTGGATGAGGATCCTTGTTATACAGACCAATGTCCCTTTGGTTATTACTGTGATCATGGCTGTTTCCCCCCCGCCCCAATCTTTTTTTTTTTTTTTTTTTTTTTTGAGAGCCGTCA